AGCATTTTTTATGCCAAATTTGTGGTCAGTCTCGTTATGTTGGGCAACCAATGCATTTGATGCATTATCTTGTAAAATGTTCCTTTTGTGTTCACATAATTCCATGAAGTTTCTCCTATGTATTTTTTGTGACAATTATTACAGGCAATGAAGTAAACATCTCCTTCGGATGTTAGCTTATTTATTTTATTTAGAGTCTTTTTGTTTATTTTTTATTTTTCTTTATTTATTTTATGTACAGTCTTTTAGTTTTTGTTCCCATCACTTTTGTCCGTAGGTATTCCACACTGTGATATTAGAAGATTTACCAAGAATGATGAAATGTTGTAAGAGCCAGGGTAGCAAATTTACTGTAGATGACGTTGCGATTAAGGCACTCTCTAGACATTTACGTCGTAGTGAATTATTTCTCCTTTGATCAGAGTAGCATTTTTATGTCAAAGTTGTTTTATATAAAAACGTACTGCTGGTATTTTTTACTATAAATATTTATTTTTATACTTTCATAGTGTTTTGTTTTTGATTAGAGGTTCACTATTTGCCCATAGCTGGGACCCTAACAGGTGCTACCAACCAGTCTCAGGATGGACCTGGGAACAACATCAATTAAGTGACTATTCTACGTTCCTCAAAACCTTCGATCTCCCGATCAGAGGCCTTGCTGCCGGATGTATTTTATAGTGCATTATGGCGTCCCAAACAATCTATTTCCAGTCCAAACAACAAACTACATGGTTTACCCTTCAAATTAATCCCCCTTGGAGTCTAATGCACTTTTCTATCCATCTCTACCACGCTTCTATATACTTCTTGGATACCCCTCAGCTCCGTCTTTACGACCCTCTTGATGACTTCCATGCCTTCAAAAAACTTTGATAATTCCTTTGAGCTTAAAAAAATATCACATGGAGCAAGATCATGTGAATAGGGAGGGTGTTCCAATATGGCGATATTCTTTTCAAGCAGGAACTTTCGGATTCTCAGGCGGTTGTGAGCAGGTACATTTTCATGGTGAAGTAGTCACGATTTTTCCTGCCACAACTCTCGTCTCTTCTCGCGCACTAAGCGAAGCAAACATCGCAAGACCTATTTGTAGACTTACTGACTGATCGTCTGGTCCTGTGGTAAGAACTCACTGTAGATAATGCCCATAGCCGTTTTCAGACAGACCTCGTATGTAAGTCTATATACGATTTGATTGATATGTTTGTTTAAAAGCACATCAACTCCTTATGGGTCATTTAGTGCAGATTTTTTTTTAGCTTTGAAGTAATAAAAATATGATGTATGTTATTCTGCTTTCGCAACTGAATACATGGTATATAATACTTAGCTTTAGTGCATATACATGTTTGATATGGGTGTTTTATATTAACATATTGTTGAAATTATATTTTGGAATACAGTTTGATTTCTTTACGAAATTGTAGGATATTATTAGGTTGGTGCAAAAATAATGTCGTTTTTTCACGTTAAGTTGAACGTCAAAAACGACATTACTTTTGCACCAACCTAATATATGGATTAATGTCATGAAAGAGTTCTTTCATGTTGGCTGGTTGATTTTGTTTAGCAGCATATTACCGTCTACCGTTATTTAATGGTTAAATTTTTGAACGCTTACTGATCATTTTATCTAAAAATATATTGTTGGTCACGCTATAAAAAATGTATTGTTGGTCATTTTACTATAAAATATATTGTTGGTCATTTTACTATAAAATGTATTGTTGGTTTTTTACTATTGGTTATTTTTACTAAAAATGTATTGTTGGTCATTTTACTTTTTGTTGGTCATTTTATAAAAAAATATATTGTTGGTCATTTTACTATAAAATGTATTGTTGGTCATTTTACTATAAAATGTATTGTTGGTCATTTTACTATAAAAATGTATTGTTGGTCATTTTATTATAAAATGTATTTTTGGTCATTTTACTATAAAAATATATTGCTGTTCATTTTATTATAAAATGTATTCTTGGTCATTTTACTATAAAATATATTGTTGGTTATTTTACTATAAAAATGTATTGTTTATCATTTTAATATAGAAATTTGGTGGGGCCATTTTACTATAAATATGTATTGTTAGTCATTTTAATATAAAAATGTATTTTTATACTTTCATAGTGTTTTATGTTTTTGGTGGGTCACCATTTCCTATAGCTGGGATCCAAACAGGTGTTGCCACCCTGCATCAGAGTTGACCTGATAACTACTGCAATTAAGAGGTAGATCCACGCTCCCCCAAAACTTCCAAACTCCCAATCAGATGTCTTGCTGTTAAATGTAGTTTATCATCATACAAAGGACTAAGTGTATTTATAACTGTATATACATCCTTTTGCAAATTAATTGAAACAACCGCTATAGTTTCCTTTCTTTCACCATACGGTTTATTTTAGACTCACTGGAGTGACAGGATTTAATCGATTTCTATTTTTTCCTCAGATTAGGTCATTTTCAGTGGTGTGCAGTAATATGAATCTATTTTTAGGGTGTATGATGGAATCTGTTTGGCCTTGAAAAATATTGCGTCACCCGTGATTGCATGATTTTTATCACGCCCAGACACTATTGTTTCGACTGTCGATTAGTTGTCCTACGTCATTGAAGCGTACGAAAATTTGTAATGCTGCATGAACATACTGACATGCCTTACTAGTGAGCAAATCAAAGTACTATCGACTGGCCCGGAAACTCTCCTGATTTAGATCCAATTAAAAATCTGTGGTGAATCTACAAAGAACGACTTTGTGGAATGGACATACGAAGTACTAACAAGTGCACTGGGTCATGTTTCATGGGAAAAATACGAAAAAAATGTAAATAATAACGGAATTATTTGTTTCGTTTCAGTTAATTTGCACAAGGGTGTAGGTATATATATAGACTATTTTCATTCGCTCTGTTCGTTTTCAACCAGAAATTTTGCATTTTTGGCGTTCTCCATCAAGTCTTATGACCTATGGCAGAGAGTATCTTTCGTAGAATATTGGCAGTGCCAAGCAACGCGGACTTCTGAAGCGATAATGTACTACACGTTATTCTCACCTTCTGGTAAATTCAGTCCGGAAGTCGATGTACTTCTTAAACTTTTTAATTTCTTTGATTTTGATATTATGTTCACCAGAGACCAGGGAGAGACACGCCTATGGGTGTTTTTATTTTTATTTTTTTATTTTTTACTTTGTCAATGACAGTGGCGTCTGGTTTGATTTCTCCCGACATAGGCACCCTATATATGTTCCACTTGAGGTCTGGGTTGAGTCCCAATAGTCGTTCAAAGCAAATACAATCATCCATCATGACTGGAAAAAAATTCAGAACGTGTTCGGTGACAATAAAACGTTATTAGCTTTGTTTTCAAGGACAATGACGAAAGTAGATTTATTATATCGCTTGAACATTGTGTTGGAAGTGAAAAGACATTTTGGGGGATAAGGAAATACGAAAACCTCTATTTTTGCTGCGTGAACACGCCCGTTCCCTTGTCCTCTTCAGACTATGTATTGTTGCTTTTATTGTTGTTCTTGTCCATGTTGTTGTTGTTGTTGTTCTTCTTCTTCTTCTTCTTATTATTATTATTATTATTATTATTATTATTATCCTTGATTTCTGTTGTATACGCATTTGCATCCCGGTACTGCCCAGAGACCTAAGGTCAGAAATGGCATCATGACATTTTCCACTGAGCAATTTTGAAAAAAATCTTATTTTACATAGATAAAGCCCTTCGTAAGGTGTGGGCTGTACTTGTCAGAACAATTTTTTGTATCTCTTTAAGGCATGGACTTCCAGGAATCCCTTCAATTAGTCTACTGCAATCTTTTCCAACCAATCCTAGAGCTCCAACTATAACAGGGATTGTTGATGTTCCCATGTGCCACATTTTTGAGATTTCGATTTCAAGGTCCTTGTATTTTGACAGTTTTTTGAAGATCTTTAAAGATACATTGCAGTCAGCAGGGACTGCCATATCAATAACGAGGCATTCTTTTTATTTGCGGTCTTTAATAACGATGTCTGGGCGGTTGGCTTTGATTGTTCTGTCAGTGTGTATTGTGTAATCCCATAAAATAATAATAATAATGATAATAATAATAATAATAATTGGGCTACACTTTAAGGCATGAGCTACACTTTAAGGCATAAGCTACACTTTAAGGCATGGGCTACACTTTAAGGCATGAGCTACACATTAAGGCATGGGCTACCCTTTAAGGCATGGGCTACACTTTAAGGCATGAGCTACCCATTAAGGCATGGGCTACCCTTTAAGGCATGGGCTACACTTTAAGGCAGGAGCTACACTTTAAGGCATGGGCTGCCCTTTAAGGCATGAGCTACCCATTAAGGTATAAGCTAAACTTTAAGGCATGAGCTACCCATTAAGGCATAAGCTACACTTTAAGGCATGGGCTACCCTTTAAGGCATGGGCTACCCATTAAGGCATGAGCTACACTTTAAGCCATGAGCTACACTTTAAGACATGGGCTACCCTTTAAGGCATGAGCTACACTTTAAGGCAAAGATTCCTTCAAGGAATCTCTCGGAATATTTCCCAATCAAAACGAGGGCTCCAAATAAAACTGGATTATTGATGTCCTCTTGCGTAGCAATACATCTACAGGTATGGCTGAAAACAATGATGCTAACTTATTCTGAATCTTCGTGATTTGGCAGAAGAAAAATTTGCATTTTCTTCTGACCCCTTTGTGACAAGCATTTATAAATATCATTTTCCTTACACGCACTTACAATTTTCAGTTAAATTTAAAACATTTCCACTCAGGGTGAGATTTTAATTTTTCCTTCCCCACTCCTCTTCATCCCCCATCTTTTTAGCCATCTCTTTTTCGTCCTTCTAAATACTTTACTTCGCCACAACTCCTACCCCAACCCCGCGGCCCCGACCCCCGGAAAGAAGTCAAATTTGATCTCACGCAAAAAGCCAAGATCTAATGTAATCAGATTTAAGTCCGTAATGTTTTAACTAGTCGCACGCACAGAGGAGACACGCAGGTGAACCCTGACTGACACATTCAGTGCGCATGCTCAAATGGCATAATAATGTTATGAGGCTTTTATCAAGGTCTTCCAAATTTAAGCCGATTACCTGAAAAAGGATAATTTTCATCTTTCACCACGGAAGACTTTGCTCGTTTTGATGCATCATTCGAAATGACGCCCAGCAAATATATATATATATATATATATATATATATATATATGTATGTATGTATGTATGTATGTATAAAGAAAGAACAAAAAAAAGTTATTGAAAAGAAAGGTTCTAAGATATGGTTTGAAAGAAAGAAAGAAAGAAAGAAAGAAAGAAAGAAAGAAAGAAAGAAAGAACAAAGGCTAAAAAGAAAAAGAAAAGAGATTAGAATATTTGATAAGATAGAAAGGCTTCGAAGATATGGCTTGAAAGAAAGAAAGAAAGAAAGAAAGAAAGAAAGAAAGAAAGAAAGAAAGGCTAAAAAGAAAAAGAAAAGAGATTAGAATATTTGATAAGATAGAAAGGCTTCGAAGATATGGCTTGGAAGAAAGAAAGAAAGAAAGAATGAGAAAGAAATAAAAACAAAGATGTTATTGAAATATAGACTAAAGAAAAAGAGATTAGAATATTTGATAATATAGAAAGGCTTCGAAGATATGGCTAGAAAGAAAGAAAGAAAGAAAGAAAGAAAAAAAAGAGAAAGAAAGAAAGAAAGAAATAGAAGAGTAAAAGAAGAAACAAAAGAAAGAAAACAAAAAATCAAAGAGCGGGGAACAAGAAAGAAAGAAAGAAGGAAAGAAAGAAAAGAAAGAAAGAAAAACGAAGATGTTATTGAAATATAGACTAAAAGAAAAAGAAAGATTTGAATGTTTGATAAGATAGAAAGGTTTCGAAGAAAGAAAGAAAAAACGAAAGAAAGAAGGAAGTTATGAAAGATGATAAAAAAAGGAAAGACTATTAAAAACAATGAAAAGAAAGAGAGAATAAAAACACAGAAGCCGGTTAAAAGAAATAAAATTTTTAAATCGATCAAAAAAGAATATTTTTTTCAGAAATAAAAGAAATTAGTGAAATCTAAAGAACAAAAAAAAAATGTCTCTTTGCAAAAATTCTAAAATTCACCCCAAAACATGTCTTAACCCGAGTCAATATTCTGGTGATTTTTATTTTATTTATTGTTTGTCAACATTCCTTTCCCCCAGCTCGACAAATTGTGGCCTTCACCGCTTTATATGCTTTTACTCCTTCCTTCTTTCTCTTTTTTTATCCACTTTGTCTTTCCCATTCCATGGGTATGACGATAAACTACATCCGCGTCCTGGATAAGACGATAAACTACATCCGTGTCCTGGGTAAGACGATGAATTACATCCGTGTCCTGGGTAAGACGATAAACAATTACATCCGCGTCCCGAGTATGACGATAAGCTACATCCGCGTCCCGGGTATGACGATAAACTACATCCGCGTCCTGGGTAAGACGATAAACTACATCCGCGTCCCGGGTATGACGATAAACTTCATCCGCGACGGTATAAACTACATCCGCGTCCTGGGTAAGACGATAAACTTCATCCGCGTCCCAGGTATGACGATAAACCATCCGCGTCCCGGTATGACGATAAACACATCCGCGTCCCAGGGATGACGATAAACTACATCCGCGTCCTGGGTATGACGATAAACTACAACCTCGTCCTGGGTAAGACGATAAACTACATCCGAGAGCAAGGCCTTTTGTGCTGAAAGTGTGGGAAAATGATTCTACTCGCACATGATACGCACCCCTTTTCTGGTAATCAAACTCCATAAATTGTTTCTCTCCAATTTTATTACGACCAGAGTTTTCTACTCTTATAAAAATCGTTTTAAACATAGAATAATATTATTCTAATTTAGTTTTATGATAATTCTTATTTTATTTTACATTTGTAAATATTGGTAGGTCCATATGATTGTAATTGACATCCTTATGGGGTCGCAATCGCCGAATGTTAGTGTCAAATTGTCGTATGTTTGTGGTAAGTAGTCATTTCGCAACTGAAATCGACATGTGAAGCGCCAATTTTTTTAAGTTTTTTGTAGCTGTGCATGATACGAACCCATAATTTTACTTATTATTTTTAGAAAAAAATGCGTATTATACATGAGAAATTACAGTATGATGGCATTTTATTAAGATTAAAATATCAAAGAATCTAAAAAGCGGCTTCAGCTTTACTGATATTAAGTCAGATTAAGCCCAAAATGGCATATTGCAGAAGGTGCTCAATATAGACAAAAATATCTACCGACTTATTGACTTCCTGTATCATGATGAACTTTTTTTTCAGATCGAATGAATTTCTTTTTATTTAATATTCAATTTAAACCGTTTGTAATATGGTAACAATTCTAAATAGAAACTTTACTTGACTCGATCTGCTTTAAGGCTGAAAAATGTTTATTGTGAATAGATGGTTACAAACGGAAGGAGAGATGGGAGAGTTCTTCTTTTATTCAGTCAGTTATGTGCCATACGTGATACACGCTTAGGCGATCATGTATCTTTCGATACATGACTTTCGAGGCAGATTTTTTCCCGCAGTAGGTGGCCATTTCTTTCTGCGGTGGACCAGTTGCCATCCAAGACTATAGAACCCGGTCTGTCCTGCTATTTACCCATAGCTGTTGTGAGAAGAAGAGGATTCATATCTTTCCTAAGGGTATTAGCATGTCAATTAGTTATGTGCCACACGTGATACACGCTTAGGTGATCATGTATCTTTTGATACATGACTGACGAGGCAGATTATTTTTTTCCGCAGTAGGTTGCCATTTATTTCTGCGGTGGACCAGTTGCCACCCTGCTACTTACCCATGGGGGTGAAGAAGAGGATTCATACCTTTCCCAAGGGTTATAGCACGTAAGTGAATGTAATGGATTCGACTGGGATTCGAACTCGGTTCTCCGATTCCTCAATCCATCTATTAATCCACCGTGCCTCCTGCTTATTTTATTACTACACCGTTAATCCTCTTTGTAAGTCAATAAACGTTAATATTTATTAATTTTAAGCATTAATCTTGTTTGCAAGTCAATAAACATTTGCCTTTATTGTAATTTCAAGGATTAAGACAGTTTTAGGGGCACATCCTCCATTTTTTTTCTTTTACTGATTAGCTTTAGGTCATTAGCTTTCAAAGAAAACCAAAACTTCACAGAAGATATTTAAATTATTTTAAATGCTTTTTTTTTTGGGGGGGGTCTTTTTTAGGAAGTTCCTAGCGGTACCTAGAAATTTCTACTTTCCGCTATGAAGGCGAACTTAGTAGTATCCTAATCGCGATTTTGGTACCAAACATTTACCATTTATAGGAATACAAGTAAACGGAAGATAATCCAAAGTTCTTGGATATATTTCTGGTATTGTTCCATAAATAGTACCATCGCCTTTTGTTCCAATCCAGGTGTTTTTCAGCTTCTCTCAGGTGTACATTTTATTTAGTCATTTGTTAAAGTTGCTTTGAATAAAATTCTTCAAACGGCTTACAGCGGTAGCTTAAGATGTCTAGTTTACAGACTTCCATTTATGGCTCGGTGTGTAGTTTTGTGTCCAACATAGCATTTCTCTCTAAATTTTTCCTCGTTTCGCATTTTAAATAGAATAATTGTATTTTTGAAAAGGTATAACTTTTAATTAAAGGTACAAAATGAATTTATTTTATTTATTTGAAGCTAAAAAATCGTGTTTAAACAAGAAAAATAATTAAATTTGAATGGCCTAGTGAATAAAAGCGTAATTTGAAGTCATCCAGTAACTTGACACAGATAGTTGCGAGTTCAATACCTGGCTACAGGAGAGGTGAACAAAACCTCGGAGAGTTGATATATTAAAAGGCATTAACTGAGATAACCAAGAAAGGCGTGGAACGGGTACAGTCTGCTCCGGTGGGCGAAATAAAGGGTTCGATTAGATATTTCAAAGTATATCACCAGAATGAGGCCGGAACGTCGTTAATATGGCAATAAAGACGAAGACAACAGTCTGTAAATAGTAAATGTTTCGACATTATCAGCTGAAGATAATGTTTTTTATATGAATGCTATTTCTTTCGTGCTAATTTTTCTTCTTGTTTTAACCTGACTATTTTTAACATGCCTACTTTTCACATGTCTATTTTTAACATTCCTACTTTTCATATGTCTATTTTTAACATGCCTACTTTTCACATGTCTATTTTTAACATTCCTACTTTTCACATGTCTATTTTTAACGTGCCTATTTTTCATATGTCTATTTTTAACATGCCTACTTTTCATATGTCTATTTTAACATACTTTTCACATGTCTATTTTAACGTGCCTATTTTTCCTACTTTTTAACATATTACTTTTCATATGTCTATTTTAACATTCCTACTTTTCACATGTCTATTTTAACATGCCTACTTTTCATATGTCTATTTTAACGTCCTATTTTTAACATGCCTACTTTTCAATTGTCTATTTTAACATGCCTACTTTTCACTTTTCATATGTCTATTTTTAACATGCCTACTTTTCACATGTCTATTTTTAACGTGCCTATTTTTCATATGTCTATTTTTAACATGCCTACTTTTCATATGTCTATTTTTAACGTGCCTATTTTCTAATTTTAACATTTTTTTTCACATGTCTATTTTTGCCTAACATGCCTATTTTAACATTTCACATGTCTATTTTAACATGCCTACTTTTCACATGTCTATTTTAACATGCCTATTTTTTTAACATGCCTACTTTTTTTTAACATGTCTACTTTTTCACATGTCTATTTTTTAACATGCCTACTTTTCATATTTTTTTAACGCCTACTTTTCACATGCCTAATTTTAACATGAAAACCTTTTTTCACATGTCTATTTTTAACATGCCTACTTTTCACATGCCTATTTTTAACATGCCTACTTTTCACATGTCTATTTTTAACATGCCTACTTTTCACATGTCTATTTTTAACGTGCCTACTTTTCACATGTCTATTTTTAACGTGCCTACTTTTCACATGTCTATTTTTAACATGCCTACTTTTCACATATGTCTATTTTTTGCCTAACATGCCTACTTTTTCACATGCATGTCTATTTTAACATGTCTATTTTTTAACATGCCTACTTTTCACATGTCTATTTTAACATGCCTACTTTTCACATGTTAACGTGCTTTTCACATGTCTTTTTAACGTGCCTACTTTTTCACATGTCTATTTTTAACATGTCTATTTTCACATGTCTATTTTTTAACATGTCTAAAATAATTAATTATAATTTGTTTGACTGCGCAAATCAGGGCTGAAAACAGATGAGATTTCTTCAGTTTTGTGACCTGCACTTTCCAAATTTCATCTCAGAAATATAGACAGAGGTTTTTTGCTGCTCTATTTTTCTTTGTAAATCGAATTTGATGGCAATAAAGCCTCTAAGACACAAAGGGTTACTCGGTGTGAAAGGAT